GCTTTTCTCTGGCCTAGCATTTACAGAGACACGAAAGAGTTTGTTAAAACTTGTTCGGTGTGTCAAACAAAAAAGTACAGTGCCAAGAAGAAACAAGGCCTTATTCAACACTACTAGTACCAAATCAAGTTTGGGAAGATTTAACTATAGATTTTATCACACACTTACCGGTTTCGTTTGGCCATACTGTCATCTGGGTAATTTGTGACCGGCTCAACAAGTTTTGCCACTTCATTGGACTCCCCACAAAATTCACAGCCAAGGACCTGGCCTTACATTTCTCGGTCAAGATCTGTCGGCTTCATAGGATCTCACACACAATTATTTTCGACCGTGACCCCATATTCCTCAGCACTTTTTGGAAGGAGTTGTTTCATGCCTAGTGTACCACTTTGAAATACAACACCGCCTACCACCCTGAAACAGACGGTCAAACTGAAGTTGTTAATCGCTGTTTAGAAACATATCTACATTGCTTCACAAGTGAGCAACTAAAAAAATGGTTTGAATACTTACACTTAGCAGAGTTTTGGCATAATACTGCTCTCCACAATTCCATCAACATGTCCCCTTTCGAAGCCCTCTATGGTCGACCTCCACCTTCATTTCACCATTACGACCCAGGATCCTCATCCCTTGAAGTTGTTGATGTTTCCTACAAAACAGAGATGAAGTTCTTAGAATTTTTAAAAGAAATCTAGAGCGTAGCAGAAATTATATGGAAACTCAAAGTAACAAAAAGCGACAAAACATAACCTTCGTCGAAGGTGATTTGGTTTTGCTTCGTCTACAACTGTATCGCCAAAGCTCCGTGCAAAAACGTGTCTCGAACATACTTTCAAAGCATTTTTTGGACCCTTCAAAGTACTTCGACGGATCGGAAACATAGCCTATCACGTGGACCTTCTTGACTTATCCAGGATCCACCCTGTTTTCCATGTCTCGCAACTTCGCGCTTTGCATGGTACGGATCTGGCTCTGCATTTCCAACTAATTCCAACTGATTTTGAGACCACCAATAATGAAGATCCACCACATGTAACACGACTTGAGGAGACTCAGACCCACAGCAACCAAACTCAGGTTCGTAGACCTGAATCACACACTGAAGCAGTGTTGCATGCAAAAAATACGAATGTATATGGAAAAGAAGTCTTTGAAAAAGAAGAAAAAAGAGGGTTGAAGAATATAGAGGAAGCAACAAGTGACAAGAAAAGTGAAGTTATAACGTACAGAGAATCTCTTAAAGCAAATACCAATTTTCAAAGTGATAAAGCCATCAATGCTATGACTAACTCTGCAGCTTCACGTGTTTCTAATAGCATAAATTCATTTCCCAACACTGCTTTTCCTGACCTCGAGCTACACCATCTGCCAAATGTCCCCATCTCTTCATGCATGCGGCCAGCTGTATCCCACTTCCCTTTAGTGGACAATGTGCTGGCACCTGTTCCCACTTTCCACGACTTTTCCCCTTCTCCTTCAGCTCCAGCACCGAGTCAACCTTCTGGGCCAATTAAATAGGCCAACTTTTTTACCACACCTCCCAACAGTTCTGTCAAACCCAACCTTGAGGACAAGGTTGTCATTGGGCCGGATAGTAGTGATAACAGGCCCATACGAAAAAGGAGTCAGCCCAAATGGATGCAAGATTTTATAACAAAATAATTAATATGGTGTTTTAGTTTGTGGGCTGGCGCAAATGAGTTGTTCCTTGAGATTTGATTTTTCTTATATTTAAACTCTATTTTGTCTAGTTGAAAGGGTATGAATGAAAACAAGTATTTTCTATTATCTTCTTCTTCTTATTTTTGAGTACTCGTTTTAGTAACCCTAGATCTTAGAATCATAGTTGTGGAACTCTTCTTATCAGACCCTTAATTGGATTAAAAATTGGAGATCAAATGAAAATTTTAAAAAATAGAAATAGTTTCTAAACTATTTATTATATTTAGAAATTTGATGGACCAAACTAAATATAAAATAATAGTTTAAAAACATAATTGATGATTTATTCTTTGAAAAATTAAAGCATATTTCTTAGAAACATATCTTGGAGAGTCAAGATTACTTAACAATTTGGTGTATCTAGTTTTCAAAGGAATTGTGTATTTAAATTGACTTGTTGGGGTAGGTTGAAAATATACATGTTAAAGAAGTTCTGCATTATTTAGTTTTGTGAATGAAGAGAGATTCCAAGACTATATATAGGATACAAGTTCTTTCAAATTCCACATCAGTTAGTTTTGTGGAGGAAGTGAGAGTCCAATGCTATATATAGGATTCAAGTTTTTCATTCCAAGATGTATCAATCAAAAACACTTTAAGCTTTTATTTGACTTTTGTTGTTCTCTTATACTCTTGTTTTATAGTGTTGTGAGATGTATTTAAATATTAGTTTTGGAGGGTATGGGTGTACTGGGGGCCTGGGTTAGTTGAGGGTATATTATGTGTTGTAAAAATTTTTACATAGTGTTATTTTCTAGTTGTCTTATTGACAACGACCATGGTTTTTCTCCGATTTTGGAGTTTTCACGTTATGTTCTTGTGTTGTAATTGTGTTCCTATTTTTTTTCTATGCTTTGTTTTTTTCCCAACAAGTGGTATCAAAGTCTGGTTTGGTGGGATATAAATTTTCTAGTATGCTCTGTGGTTGCAGTTTTAACTGATCTTTCACATTAGAAAAGAAATTTTATACTCAGTGTTGGTTGGGAAAATTTTGTTTTGCTGCAAGGAAGGTTTTGGTTGAAATGTCAAGTTTTTCAAGTGCGGTGAAGATTGACTTAGAGAAATTCGATGGAATAATTAATTTTCCTTGTGGAAAATTCAAGTCAAAGATGTTTTTATACAATTAGGATTACAAAAGGCATTGAAAGGAAACATTTTCAACATGGACAACGAGAAGTGGGAGGAATTAGATTTGAGAGCTTCGAGTACAATTTGTATGTCTTTGCCTAAGAATATTATTGCGAATGTTCTTGGTACGTCGTCAGCCAAAGAGCTTTGGGAGAAACTTGAAGGCCTATATCAAGGAAAGGGTATATCAAATTGTTTATTATTGAAGGAGCAGTTTTATAGCTTGCGTATGGATGAGCATGCAAAAGTATCTGATCATCTAAGTGTTCTAAATGGTATTGTTTCTAAATTAGAAACTATTGGAGTCAAGGTTGATGATGAAGATAAAGCTTTGAGACTCGTATGGTCTCTTCCATCTTCCTATGAGCATATTAAACCTGTTTTAATATATGGGAATGAAACTTTGAGCTTTGAAGAAGTTTCTAGTAAGACTATTTCTGAAGAAAGAAGATTGAAGGGTCGGGAGAATACTTCATCAAACTCAGTGTTGGTTGCTAGAGGAAGGTCTTATGTGAAGAAAAACAATGAAACGGGTATGAGATGTTGGAAATGTGGAAAGCTTGGACATATAAAGTATAAGTGTCTGATGGGGCTGCGTCAGAGAAGGGTTATGAGTCAAATTCTAGCAATGTCTCTCTCGCTGTGAGAGAAGATGATCTTCTCTGAAAATTGAGAAGTGTGTCCTCATGACATTTCTGCTGTCATGGAAAAGGACGAGTTATTACTAGCGGTAGCGTATTAACACATGGACATTAATGCAAAGTGTGTTGTGAGATTATGTCGATGGTTGATGAGCTTCCTACCAACAAGGAAGTTGCACCATAAAGTTTCAACCTAGTTTTCAATATGTGAAAATTCTTGAAGCGATTTACCTTCAAGTGAAGTATACTCTTTTTTAGGTGGAGTATGATAGTTTTTGAAAACTATGATTGTCGGTGAAGACAGTATGAAATTCTTAGAGTGGTGTAGCTTCAAGTGACTATACTCTTTATGATGGAGTATGATTGTCAGTGAAGACAATGAAAGCTTATGTATTATTTTCAATCAAGGTGGAGATTATTGGGGTTGGTTGAAAATATACATGTTAAGGAAGTCTCACATCGCTTAGTTTTGTGAATGAAGAGAGAGTCCAAGACTATATATAGGATACAAGTTCTTTCAAGTCCCACATCTCTTAGTTTTATGGAGGAAGTGAGAGTCCAATGTTATATATAGGATTCAAGTTTTTCATTCCAAGATGTACCAGTCAAAAGCACTTTAAGCTTTTATTTGACTTTCTTTGTTCTCTTATACTCATGTTTTATAGTGTTGTGAGATGTAGTTAAATATTAGTTTTGGAGGGTGTGGGTGTACTGGGGGCCTGAGTTAGTTAAGGGTATATTATGTATTGTAATAATTTTCACATAGATTATTTGGTTGTCTATTGACAACGACTGTGGTTTTTTCTCTGGTTTTGAAGTTTTCACGTTATGTTCTTGTGTTCCTCTTTTTTCTCTATACTTTGTTTTTTCCTAACAGGACTTAGGTAGAAGGTTAAGTTTACGAGTATAAGTGACATATGTTATATAAATTTTATAACTGTGTCCTAGAAAATAAGTTTTTAAAATTTGGATTGGTCATCTACCCGATCAAATTATTGGATCATTGAATTATTGGTTAGATCAATGAATTACTTATTGCATTGTATAACTTCTAATTTAATTTATAAAAATAAAAAAATTCATAAAAAAATTCTTGAGATGATTTCATAACTATAAAATCTAAGTAAAAAAAATTCTTGACAAATGAACCAAATGGATCACATCAGTTATTGTTGGGACAATTGCAATTGCAAACATGGTTCAATGGCCTTACCAGACCACTCTACCTTCCAATTCACGGTCTAACCGATCTGATCGGTTGAAACGGTCTGAATTTTAAAACACTGCTAGAAAATCACTATAGTTAAAATTAAATTTCCATGATAAAGTATTTTTAGTTAATATATTGTATATCGAAGTGAATTTGATAAAAATATATAGGAATCGGTAAGTATAAAGCAACAAAGACAAATATCAATATATAAACTTTATTTCATGCACTAAATTATTTTTCTAAATTATTTTTATTTATTTATTTGAAAATCAAGCAATAATGTTCTATATCTAGCTAGAAGCGGGAGATTTGGATGGTGAAGTTGCAGTTGCAGTACTACAACCCTGACCGGAGGAGGATGGAAAGTTGAGGTCGATATTCATCATATTATTCATCCCATTTGTTGATCTTCTATCATTAAACAACTGAGGCATATCTTTTTCATTTGTCACCAAAGAAACTCTTTCAGATTCAGAGTTTTCAAAGGAAGCAACCAATAACACCACCGAGCCCAAAGCCTTCAGAGGGGGAATCACAATCCCTCCAACCACTTGTCTTGTAGTTCCTGACAAGTTAATCATCAACCCTCCAGCATCCCCTGACATTGTCTGTGAGTGAATTGTTCCAGATATTGAAATAATCTGGAACCTTCCTTGGAGAGTTACAACTTTTCCTGTGGATTGACGAAGAGTTACTTTTTCCACCGCTCCTTTTCCACTGAGGATGAATATTCCCTTTCCCCGGTGATGAACGTAACCAAAGAGACTACTTACTACGTCAGATCCACTAGTGATCTCAAGCTTATGAGAATAAAGTACATTGTCACGTGTTTCAGTGATAGATGTCTTGACTTTGTTCTTGGATCCAAGTGGACGACCACAAGGACGACGAACGCTTTTTGAGGATGATGGGTGATTGTTTATTTTTGTTATGGTATTAGTGTCTAGTGTTTGATGTTGCACTTGTGGTGCCATGGATAGGTGAAGCTCTTGGATTCTCTCAGTATTTTGGTCAGACATGATCTCTTTTCTTTTTCTACTCAAATTAATCTGTTTGTCTTGCCTTGACCTCCCCTTTTTATTAGTGATGGTGAAGGATCTAGAATTATTATTTTATTTATATTTTGACTTAACTTATAAAAAACTATAATGAATTTTGATGATGAAATTGGAGAATGAAAAATCACACCTCAATAAATTAATATATAATACTAAAGAAAAGTGTTTATATTGACTTATTTATTTATTTATATTTTTTTTACCATCCATAGACTCACGCGCTTACCTCAAATCCACCAACGTTATCTTCAACTTTATCTTTCCGTATTATATTTAATTATTTTTTTGACTTTTTTCAATTCATCTCTGCATTCGTTCATTGTATATACAAAATTAATTGTTCGGTCAAAATAATAATAATAATAATTGGATTCACTTAATTAATAGTATATATTAAGTTATTAAAATAAAATGTATGAAATTGTTGGTAATTGATCGACAAATTAGCAAGTATGCTAATCTGTCAAAATAGTAATACTGATTGTTACTAGAATATCAATCTCGAGGACTACGTTATATTTTAGAGTCTGTATTTTAATTCAGTTGAACAAAAAGGTATTTGGGGATTTGGAAATTTGTTTTTTTGCAAAGATTAAAATCAAGATAAATCTAATAGAGTATAAAATAATAAGAGAGGAGTGTGATGGGAATGAGGATTTGAAATTGAACTCGTTTGATATCTTAAATTAACCTTTATCCCTACAAATTACTGGCTCTTAATGGAATTTATTCCAAACTCCTTAGTGAATAAACTTTTGACTATTCAAATTAATTCCTATGGTCATAGTTGTAGCTTATGGGTTATAAGATAGTGTTATAACAAACTCGGTCGAAGTTAAAGATGTGCATGACGTAGTCGAAGTCTGTTCTTGCATGCAGAATTATGTGAGCTTGTTGTTTAAGTTAATATGTTGAATTGAGCCAATTGTTTAAGTTAGCTTAGTAGTCTATAAGTAGATTGTATCTCTCAGGTTATTGATTGGGAGTTTTTATTATTGGTATTAACTTGTAATATTTGAATCCTAATAGAGAAAGTGAATAGTAAAACAGTTACAACCAAGTCTAATTCTTTTTCTTCCTTCTTCCCTCTCTTTCGTAAAACCTAGTAGGGTTTCTTATGTTTGTTCAATAAACTCAATCTTTCTCATAATTTTATTTATTCTTGACGACACCGATTCACAACAAACTGGTGCGATGACCGTGAAGGAGAATATGTCATCAAAAAAGTATGAGGTTGAGAAATTCACCGAAGTGAATGATTTTAGTTTGTGGTGCTTAAAGATGCAAGCCTTACTGGTTCAACAGGGTTTGTTAGAAGCATTAAAAGGATCAGAAAAGATGGATGTTTCCCTAACAGAAAAAGAGAAGACGATGATGATCGAGAAAGCCCACATCGCCATCATATTGAGCCCCGGTGATAAGGTTTTGCGGCAAGTTTCAAAGGAGAAAACTACAACTTGTGTCTGGACGAAACTCGAAGGTTTGTACATGACTAAATAATATGTCAACCGTCTCTATCTGAAGCAATCATTGTATTTATTCAAGATGACTGAAGATAAAGTCTTGGCTGGGCACCTAGATATTATCATACCCCAAGTTTGTCCTACCCTTTCATGCAAATCTCCTGGCTTATGCTTTTCATTTTCCTCATCTGCATCACTCCATTAGATCATTTTCATATAATGCATTCATTCTCCGTAATATCATTGGTTCAAAGGATCAGTGGTAATAGATTAACTAGGGTTTCACATAATATGCAAGTTTGTTTTTATTGAGGATATCATGGATCACAAATTAGGGTTTATTCCCTATACTTGGCTTCACCAATTGGTTTTAGGATTTTGCATAACTATAATCATCATGTGATTCATCCCTCGTCATTAGGGTTTCATTTGATTTTCATCACCAATTCAAGGTTGGGGTTCATGCCTATTTATGGTGCAAGATGTTTGTTTTAGAATTTCATGCAAGGGTTTGATGTAAACATGATGTAAAGGATCATTGATTGAGCTTAAAGCATGTGAATAAGAGCTTTTAACTTTGATCAAAGGCAACCTTGGATAGTTGAATTTTTTACCAAAGTCATATATGAGTTTTGTGGGTTTACATCTTAACTTGTGTCAGGGATTCAAGTTGTAGTGGGAAAATAAATATTTCAATTGAAGCAAATGGAGGGGTTATAACATCAGTTGAGCAAAAGACCTTTTCATAAATGTTAGAGCTTCAACCTTTGAAGCTCTAATCAGTTGAGCAAAAGACCTTTTCTCCCTCAATCTTCATTGTATCACAACATATAATAACACACAGTAAATCATAACAAACTGAAGCACATCAGAGAAGAAGTGAAGATAAAGAAGAGAATGTTGTACCCCAAAATGTGCCCTCTTATTTATTATCCTAGTTGATTTTTCTTCTCATTCACGTGCATCTCCATTAGGTCATGACATTAATCATGCATTGCATTGAGTTCTTAAGGCATGGGATCACAACTTATTTATTACGGTTCAGGGGTTTCTTTACTTGAGAGAGTGTTTCAGTAGCATTCATAACTAAACTCATAGTCATCAGAGGCTTAAAGTATTTATTTTGCTCAACAAATGGTTTGATTACTTTAGAATCAAGAACAGAGAGCACGAAGTTCATATGATTTGTTCCAAATAAGTTATCTATCATATTCCGAGCATCATTCAAGTGTCATACCAAAAGTTGAGGTTTAGACGCAGAGTCGTGCTCATAATAGGTTGCAACAGGGCAGTTTTCTCATTTTTGCACTAATGTAACTGGTTACCTAAAAGCCTGTAACCGGTTACACCCCATTCCAAAAGGTGCTATTTTTGAATTTTTGAAGCATGTAACCGGTTACCATGATTGGTGTAACCGGTTACATCAGGTGATTTGGCCAAAAACAACAGGTTTTCAACACTGTAGCAGTTTGTAACTCATTTCAATTGCTTGGTTCAATTCTACACCAGTGGAAGGATCTAGAGCATTGAAAATTCTAACTAACTCTACCATAATTCAAACCTCATTCCATAACTAAATCCAAGTTACATTTCCAAACCCAAATCCAAACCTCTTTGAACTCCAAGCCTAATTGTTATTTAAGAAAACTTGCTCCATTCCACAAGAGGACTTGGATCATTTTCTGCATTTTTCTGAATTCACTCTCAATTCTCTCTCACCTTGTGCAGAATTTTTCACTCACACTCTCCATTTTCATCTTCCCCGACCATACAAAAGTTCTATCATTAGAGTTAACAACCTTTTCATTGAAGTTGTTAATCCACGAGCTAAACTTTCATCACATTGCTTTTCCATTGATCAATTCTGCATTAGAATTTAATTTGGATCTAGATCTGGTTTTGAAAGTGATTACTTGAAGAGTTTTTTAGGCAAGTTCATCTTATTGAATTATTCTTCAAGTTTCTTGCTAGGAATTCATTGGATATCTAGTTTTCTTAGATCAATCCACCATTTTCTGTTTGCAACAATTACTAAAGCAAATCTCAACTTTGTAGGTTGGTAATTCTTAGATCTAACTCTGTTTTAGCTTAATTCACACTTTTACAATGTAGTCTCTTGTGATTTAAGTGTTAATTAATCCATTGATTCAAATGCTTTATGATGTTGATGTTTAATTGATTCAATTGGTGTTTATTTGCTCATAATTATTGTGAATTTCGTGTACAATTGCATGCCCTAACATCTAGTGTTTAGATCAAATAAGTTGTTCTGGAAAGTGTTTTTTCTAAATTTTGTTTCTGCTGTTTTTTCAGGTATATCCGGTTACACCCTCTGTTGTGCATCCTGGAAGTGCTTTTGTTCAGAGACATATTCTTCATATTCTTTCCATTGAATATTTTCCCAACGTCAATGTCAACTTCCTTGGTCAAACCTACCTCTATTATAGTTTGAACCAACTTGTTTTCAAAGAGCACATATGAAATAAGTCTTCCTAGAGGAATCCACTTTCTAGGTTTTAGACTTCCATTTCTGGTTTCCTTGACCATCTCCCTTAAATACTTAAATAGAATATAGGTAAGTTCATCTTGGTGCTAGAAGACATGTAGAATAATGTATACTTTTGATATGTGTTGATGTAATACAAAGAGTTGGTTGAAGGTCTATGGTGCACACATCCCAGAAGAATCTTGAACCATATTTTAAGATGGTTGTGCATATTCTGGGTGTTTGAAGAGTTATTTCCATATTAAAATATCACGGGAGCTATTTCTTCCAGATTAGCCTTTTTAGTTGGCACATCAAAGCACCTTTTTCTATATCCATCATGTAACACCCTAAACGCTGCATACAAATTAATATGGAATTTAATTAAACAAAATGCAACCATTTCAGGGTGTCACACACAATCAAACATATCCTGCTTTGTAACACGGGTTATAACATGACAATTTAGAACCTATCATCGCATGATCACCTTCACTTAGGGTATCATCGCATTGGAATCATTATTAACTTAAATAAACACAACATTGCAAACCATGACATTTAGTCTCATAAACTTCAACTTTCACAATACAACAAAAGGAGTTGTATTATTCAACTCACCACAACTTTGAGATCTCAACAAAACATAAATAGTAACTTCAACAAAATAAAACAAGTAAAAGCAAACGTTTCCAGCACGACGTTACATGATCAGAGCAAGACCATACTAATAAAATGACTAACTAATGGAAGCCACTCCAAGAGCTATCTTCCATTTACTTTAACAATGCTACTCCTGAGTATCTATAAGTTGTTCATGGTGGACAACATAAAGTAAAGGGGTGAGAATTCACTTCAATAATCAACAGTGAAAATAAGAACCAGTAGATTATCACATAGCAACAACATTCACATTACTCAATCAACGCCAACATATTAAGTATTCCCACCCAACAACATATCAACAACAATCAATACAAATGCAACATTTGTATTAATTGTAGAATAAAGAT